GGGGGGGGGGGGGTGCAACGCCTCTGCTTTCTTTTTTTTTTTCGGGGGAGGATTTTCGTCAGTCTTCTTCAGCAGGTGCCACTCCTCCGTCCCGGGGGTGTCGAATTCACTCGCGGGAAAATCGACGGCGCGCGTTTCTCTCGTATCACACGTGTCGCTCTCGTTACGGGCGCGCGCGTAATCATCGATCTTTGCGCCGTGCGAGCGCGACCTCGCCGTGTTAATTTCCGATAATTGAAATTCTCTTCGCGGACGTACCGCACGAATGACGCGACGACTCCCGCGCCGACTCCCACGCCCGGGGGTCCACCAAACGTGACCGCAAACTCACCATAAAATGCGAACTCCGAGATGATCCGGTAGGACAAAGTCCGAAGAATAGAAAGCGCACAATGGCCCCTCGAAGGAGGAGAACCGTGCTACTCCATTGAGTTATTGCTTGCCAAAGGGCTGCCGGGAATTTTCGACGGCATCAGCTCCATTCGCCGAGGGTCACGTCCATCATTGATACTCGGGGAAAACCGTCTTCGTAATACTTTCGAAAGTTGAGGTCGCGTTTCCCACGACTCGGGGTGAAACCCGCTCGTTCGAGAGTAACGAGTTGATCGGAAAATCAAAAAAGAGAAATATCGGGGGAGCGGAAAATTAAATAACAAATCTCGTGCGTGAAGCACGAGTCGGCGATATTGACGGAACGTCGAACCAGGCGCGGTCGCATAATGATACGTTTGCGGGAGAAGTAAACAGCCGGCGGGCGATTAACGCGTGACTCGCACGAAGCGGATTTAATGATCCGCCTGGGCGCTTTTTAACGCAGAATCTCGGAGAATGCGAGCTGCGCGCGCGCAGCCTTAGGCCGCGACTATAAACCAGGCCGCGTTAGCCACCGTGACGGCGCTCTGTTATTACACCGGACTTCTAATTCATATCGAGTCAATTACGTGGGCGTGTCGCGTCATCGTAGATTTCTTCAATGGAGGGCATCGATATCGCTCTCTCGGCTAGAAGAGAAAGAAGCCCCGTTGCGGGTTACTGTGCACTGGGCAGGAAGAGACCCCTACACATCGTGAATCCCTCTTTACCTTCTATTGATCTGTCTCTCTCTAACTCTCGCGGATAATGCAGAGTTCTGCCGAGCCGACACCGCCCTGTCTTCTCGATCGAGTTCAAGGTCGCTCCCGCTCCGCTCCGCGTTCGTTCGATAAATCAGCGCGGTGCGACTCGTTATTCACACTACTGATCATCAATCACTGATCGCCCCTTGTTCCGACGATTGTTGCAGCCGACCCGACACTCCAAGCTGGAGAAGGCCGATATTCTGGAGATGGCGGTGAAGCACATACAGACGGTGCACCGGCAGCAATTGAGCGCGGCCATGGCGACCGATCCGGCGGTGCTAACGAAATTCCGTTCCGGATTTTCCGAATGTGCTACGGAAGTATCGCGGTACGTCAGCCAGCTCGAGAACGTCGAGCCGGTCGTGAAGCAACGATTGGTATCGCACTTGAACAACTGCGTGAGCAATCTCCAGCAAATGGCGCCGTTCTACAGCCACTACGTGCCCTACATGCCGGAACGTCTCTACCCGGAAGTAAAGGTCGGCTTCCAGAGCGATTTCCAGAATGGGGATGAGAACAACAACGGCAGCGCGAGGATACAGATACCGAACGGGGTGCAGCTGATTCCCAGCCGACTGCCGACCGGCGAGCTGGCGCTCCTCGTGCCGCAATCCGCCAACATCTCGGCGAATTTTCCCTTCTTCCCGCCGGCCGCCGGCGACTCGAGGATCGGCCAATCCTCGGCCTTCACCGCGGTCCAAAGGCCGCACAGCCCGTTGCTCAGCCCGTCGACCTCCACGTCCAGCTACGGCGACGAGAGCCACCATTCGGAGCATTATCCGCAATCGCTGTCGCCCAACCATCAGCAACCGCAACGTCGCAGCTTCAAGCTTACCGAGCAGAGCCCGGCGTCCTCCAAGAGCTTCTCCTCCTCGCCGGAGGCGCAGAAACCGCAGATCAGCTCCAGCAGCGACCGAAAATCGCCGATCGCATTCGCCGAGCCTAGACTCGTCGACACTGGCGTAGCGATCGTCAGGAAAGACCCGTCGGCCGATGACACGGCGAATCACGGCCTCGCGACCCTCAGTCTGCGGCAACCCCTCTCGGTGATCACGGACAAAATCACGTACAATCGCAGCCCGAATTGCTCGAAGCGAGACAACCCGAAGAAACGCCATTCCACCGGGCTCCTCGCGATCTCGAGCAAGAAACCGCGATACCAAGAAGCCACCAGCTCCACCTCCTCGATGAACAACGCCGGCGACGCGACGAAAAGTACGAACGAGCGGACGGCGCAGGGCCCGGAGAGCCCGAATTGTCGGAACTCCGATCAAAATTCTGACAAATTCCCGATGAGCCTGGCGGGTCCCTCCGCCGCCAACGGCGATATGTGGAGGCCTTGGTGAGATCACCGCCGCGAAAATCACATACCAGTAATACACCTTAAGACTGACCGATTTGTTTCGTAACATGAAAGGATGAAAGGGAACTTAGTTATTAGATGGATTTTTGCCTTGATTTCTGATCGTCCGGGAATGTAACTCGCGATTCACCGATGACGATGCGTCGCGTCGTTTCGTTTCGTCGCTCGTTGATAATCCACGGAAATTAATCGCAGATCCTTAGCACGGCTCGCGTGATATGTATTTGTAAATGGAGCCGCGCTCTGTGAGTAACACGTTAAGGAGTACTTTATCGAGGATAAGCGAGATTATGCCAGAGACAATACACCGAGAGAATACACCGAGGAAGCGTAATAATATTTTAAAATTACACTTTTGTGACAAAGTCATGTAAGAAACTCCGAGGAAGAACAGTTCTACGGGCGGGATAGTCGTCGCATTCCTCAGCGTACTGTTACTTGTATCCTCCTCACTCTACGAATACTCGTAAGCTTTAAGTAGGCTAAACAAGATTTAAATGAATCCGCGAGAAGAGCCGATGAATTGTGAATACCCGTGTAAATATCTGTATTTTTATTTAATTGACACTATATAAAAAAACCATCCGTATCGAATAATTTAATTCTTAACTATACCGTAATCCGTGTCGAAATTTTTCATTCCACGTTGAGTCTTCAAGTGGAGAAAACGGTAGTAACTTCCCACTCGTAGCATCAAGGAAGCGCGATCAGTCCTCCTTCAATGATACAAAGGGAATTTAGTCCTCCAGAGTGTAAATTTTCGTTCTACATTGAGTCGTTAAGTAGAGAAAACGACAATAACTTTCCTATTTGTAGCCCCGAGGAGCACAATAGTAGACCTTTGAACACTTGACGTAGAACAAAATTAGACTTAAACTAGGAGTAAAATTTCGACCCGGGAAGTTTCAACATCATATGAGTGATTTTTCGACGATTCACAATGGTCAGTATTGTCAATTAAGATAGTGTTAAGAGAGTTTGTGATAAAAAAAAAATGTGTAACATTGAAATAGAATTTTTACGCAGAGCACGACGTGATGTTATTTGTCTTCGATTGATCTTACATGTATGTTCATCGACAAAATAAATAAACTTGCAGAATGCAAACCATTCCCGCAGCCGTTACAATCCCGTCCGGCAAAAGGAAGAAAAAGGAGAACGGCTACCACATATTCTACCGATATATTCCACGGTCTCGTAAAAGCACGGAAATTTTCCTCGCTGAGAGAGCCATCGGAGGCGCTTTACCCTTTTAAGAAGCGTTAAACGCGCTCCGATTCATAAACTGGAACTTATTCTTTCCTTTTTTGCCGATAAAGGAGCAAAAAGCTGCGGAGAATGAGAATTTCAACCACCTGTTACACCGCAAAACCACCCCCGTTCTCATCGACTGAATGCTTAAACTGATTTATCGACAGAAATCGTGAACTTTGTTAAACTCTCTTAATCTTATTCTCGGTACGTATGTTTATATTTTCGCGGAAATTCTTAGTGATTGAGAGGGAGAGATGGAGAGAGGGAGAAAACGATAATTGGGCTTGTCAATTACACGACCGCGATACATAACGAAAGTATGCGAGAGATTTACGCGACCACCCCTTCCACCGAGCGATTTGACGAATTATTGCGAATTTCAACATTTGTTTTATCTCGTTGATCTAAATAGTCATAAATATGTAGTCGTCGTTATGTGACGTAGCGTTATTTACAATCATTTTTAACATATCGGAATCCTGTGCAAGTTCGAGCAGAGACAGTGAGATGGCGGCACGTACGTACGGGATTAAAAATTTTCGTTCGCGTACGCGATTGACGAAGAATATTTGCAACATTATGATATTATAAATATTATTCGCGCGTTGCAGATATGTTTAACGCAATATTCGCTCGATTATTATGCAAAATCGCGCGGTTCCTACTGCGTATCGATCAATGCCGCGTCGAAATGAAGAGAGAAAGAGAGATAAACTGGAATAAAACAACAGAAAAATAAAAATTTACTTGCATACAAAACACAAAATGAATATTTCATTATATATTTTTGTAGCATAGCATAAATATTATCTCACGTAACTGGTAGTAATTAATCACAGTGATAGCGGAATATTTCGCGCAACTTTGAGCACAAGTGAAATGTGAGAGACGACAGAGAGCTCCGTCGAAAATTGTCATATTCTTTCTCTCTGTCAGCGCGAGAAGGACAGAACAGCATCGAGATTGTAGATTTGAAGATATCGATTATATGGATATTTTACGTATTATCTACGTGATGTTTATACGGACTTTTCTCATATACGCAATGGTAAACTATGTAAAATATATTAAACTACATAGCGCATAACGTAAAGAAAAACGATAAATTATTAGTCTAAATTAATTTAATCTTTGAAATAGTTATTGTATCTGATTTTGATATCAATTATGCAGATATTTAACATTAGAAATAGCAAAATTGCAATAAGCGGTCAAACTTACATTACGCGACAGATTTAAATAAGAATATCAATGTAATCTCTATTTTGCAAACTATTTAAAAGATTTAGTGATATAAAACAAACATGCGTAGACGTTAAATTAATTTAGATATAATCAATTTTAGGCATATTTAACATATTTATATTGTGATAGAAAAAATGTGCGCGCTATCGATATACAAAATGTTATCATTTAGATTTACCTGAGAGCTTTTAACACAAACAAAATATAAAAATAAGATTTAAGAAAAGTAAGCAGTCCCATAACAGTTCACACATTACTTATAGTCTACATAGACTGACATGTTACACATACCCAGTAAAAAAATTTGCCGTTTAATACATTTTACGCGCCTCCCCTCGTATTTGTGCATTGATTTAACACAAGATGAATGTGTTGCAAAATAAACATAATCATACGAAAAATTCATACAAAATTAATACGTTAATCGTCACCGAAGTATATAATATAATATTATTACAACTCTCGCACACGTTGAATATCTTCACAACACACAATATCGAGATAACGCAAACGCAATATGTTAAATTAACGTGCGAGTGTGTTAAGAATTGAACGGCAAAATTGCAACAAGGACCGCATTTAACGCAAGTACAAAACGTTTTTTCCTGCGTACATTGTCTACGTGTGGACGTAGACCGTATTTTCCACATAGACGCAGAACGCGACCACGGCCAGCAGGATTAAACGAGGGCGGGGGATTTCAGCCGCGGGTCCTCCGCGGCCGTGGCTTTCTTTCTTCGATCGTCGCCGGTACCGTTCTACCGGCGCGAGGCATCGAAGTCGCCGATTCGCCGTCCGCCTAAATTCGGCCATAATACCGCCAGCTATTCCGGCCTTTTCGATATTCACGCGTACACAGGCGCGCGCGACGTCGGCGCGCGGTGTATATATAGATCCTGTGACTGTGAGTAACTTCTGTGCGCTATATCACGAGTATAAATAATTACTCCGGCGCACAGCAATTACTATAAGTTATGGCGCAGCCGCTACAATTTGCAATGTCAAGACATAAACACTGCTACCGCTTACATTTGAATACATTAAAGCGATGGGAGCCCCTGATTGGCCGACGGGGAGCGGCGCGGGTAGCCTGTATCGGCGAGCGTGAGCTACGATCTGGTTGACGATTTTTATTGCGGAAACGATCATCTCGCGGAGTTTCTCCGGACCGGCGATCGTCGCCGTTGTTATTGCCGTACGTCGCTCCGTCGCTTGATGGATCCCCATTTCCGATGCCGAGCGAACGCTCGCGATGCTCGCGGATTCGCGATTCTCCGTTGAAGTATTTACGCGAGACGACGCTCTCTCGCGCTCCCCCCTGTACCCCCTTCGCCCCGGCGGACTGTTTACGACGATCTTCCGTCCGGCAGGATGAATTGCTCGATTTGCAGCGCGCTCGATGTAGATCGACTTCCGAATTTGGTCTCGCGCTCTCGCGAGGAAAAGAGAGGGCGCTCGGATAATGGGCGATGTCGCGTCTCCGCGAGCACCGAGAGGGAGAGAGAGAGCGTCTCCCGGTGACATCGAGTGGCAGTCCAATTAAGATAACGCGGAAACGGATGCTGATTTTTGCCGAAAGAAATCGATGACCGCTGTCCGCGCGGCGGAGATTTAATATCCCAAGTTGCGCGCACGGTGGCCGCAAGGCGATTGCGGAAATTAGAGGCGCGCATCGGCCGCGCTTATCAACTTATCGGCAGGTGATGCGAATCTACGGTGT